CCCCCCCCCCCCCCCCCCTCCATCACCGTTTCTAATGGTCCGTCCCTAAATGTTCACTGGAAGTTTCCTGATATTAAAAAGATGATAAAATTCTTCGTCCATACAATAAATTACAAAGGGTAGGTCGCAAGCAAGAAATAAAATCTCAGCCGCTATCTCTCCCTTTCAAACACCACTTCTTCACGACATTTTGACTTCAATGGTATAAATAATCAAACACCCTATACTCGTAGAAAGAGGGCTGCCCCAGGAATGGAAACCAAGGAAGCTTCCCGGCTGGCGAAAAGAATGCAAGAACCGTGCCCGCTGTGACAGGTTTGAAACGAATTAATGGCTCCGCGGGAACCTTTGGTGCTTAACTCCGGATAAAACTGGGGGGAAACTACGAAAACTAAGACCCCTAAAAGCTAAATTTAAAACGTCCACTGCGTAAGAATACCGCTGCACTCACGGGCAACCCAGACTTGGACTTTGGTCGACTCTCCCATAGGAGACGGGAGTTCAGAGAGTGACTCTGAACTGCAGACACCTGCAGAAGCCTGTTTTTGAGATCAAAAGCAAAGCTACTGTGACACTAATGGTCCTCTGTTCCTCTGGGTTTTGTGTGAATCGGTCTTGTTTAATGAGGGTTTTTCCACAGAGATTCGTTTTCAAGCAATATGCCGCACCCTCAACAGAAGCATTTGTTTGGCCTTTTCTTTTCTATCCGCAGTCAGTATTTTGCAGTTTTAAAAATTCGAACTCATTATTTGTGCACTTTTAAAAAGGTAGAAGATTTAAAAAGGACCCACACGAAGGGCGGATTTGATTGGCACCTGCCAAATGGCCGGATGGGAAAGTTACGTTTTTACGAGTCTTTTAGGTTCCGCCTTTTTGCTGGTTGATGCTGCATTTTCTGCATTTTTTTCTGTCTTGAGTTAAGTGAATTAAGTGTTGATTTGATTGTCCTGAGAATATTTTCTCTGCAAGTTGAATACACTATATCCAGTGAAAGTAAAGAAATCAGAACTCCATGTCAGAAATGGTTTTATATTAAAAATTGACCGTCGTTTGTTTTGCAATTCTAAAGTACCAACACCCCGCTCCTCCCCCTCTTAGCATGATAACCATGAAATTCTGAATAAAGTAATGTTTAAAAAATAGCAATACATCCCGAAAGTAAAGACAGAATGCTTCGTAAATTACACTGGATTAGGATACTGGTCTGGTAATATTCTGGCTTCTGATCTGTGATTGCAGGGACCACTGCATGGCTTCGGTAAAGGGAGGAATATTCAACAGCGAAAGCGCACTGAATAGGCGAACCTTTATGGCCGATTTTTTTAGCTGTTTTTTGACCTGCTTGCCAGCCTTAGGCTATACGCTTAAAATAGAAGTGTACCAAGCATGTGTGCATTTAAGGAAGAGGAACGGAGTGTCCTTGTTTCCGTGACATCTATGAAGAGGAAGTGCAGGGTTCAAAAGTAACTATGCCAACTATTGACATCTTGTTCTGTATGTATGTGAAGGGCCAAACATATGTGAAAGCGACTTGAAAAAAAAGATTTCTTTCCTTTTATATTTGTTTTGGTTTTTTTTTGCCATCCGCATTTCTCGCTTTCTTTCCTTTTTTATTACCCGTAATAAATCCGCGTCCGCCATCCGCAGGTATCCGGTCCGCGTTTTACAGACACCCAATAAACAGAGAACCGATCATTTTTGTAGAGTTTCAGATTTACAGTTCAACAGAAAATCCCGATACAGTAGCCCAAGAACTTGCCCAGTTCTTGAAAAGCAGTAAAAAGTAGCTTACTTATGTATGATTTATTGCGAATAGGACCTTTAATTTATACCCGGTAAGACCGGTAAAACTGAAAGTAAGGTTGGAGGGCTTTGAATGCAACCTCAGGGGAAATAAGGGGTTGAACGACTAAAACAATGAAATGCTGATTAGGATTAACATTCAAAAATTTCTAAATCTTGGTCAATCTTAGTCTTAAATTAAACAAATACTGACGTAAACAACTCGTAAATAGCAGAGGCTATAAATCGAGGCATGAAGGTTGAGTAAAGATATAATTACTTAGATTCGTAAATTCTAAAAAGTTACAGGAAAAACTAGAAAAAACTTCAATAATAAGACAATAGAGCACAATCAATGGTACACAAAAGGGGAAAAGTAAGTAAATAAATTATCTGACATATTTTCAAGACAAAAGGACATAACTAATTTATAACTCGCGAGACTGACAGATAAATTGCTTGTTTCTTCTGTAGATTCCTTCGTTACCGTCTCTTCTATGGAACACCTACTATCTTTAAATTATACTGATAACTGTACTCTTGAAACTCTGGCTATGTTGTCAAATTAACTTTCACAGAAATCTCATCTAGATACTTGTTTAGGCGTTGGAGCTCCGACTTCGTGGTCCAGTCTAAGAGAGTCCCTAAAGGATCATTTAGATGACCTCCGTGACAATGACACCAAGAAATTTATGGATTTACTGGAAACGTTTAGTCTTTCGCAACACGTTTCCAGCTCGACCAATTTATCGGGTCATACCTTGGATCTAATTATTATTCGTTTGTCGGATGATGTTGTTCTTGCTTCTCCTAAACCTAGTTTTCCCCTCTCCGATCATTTTATTATTCAGTGTCCTATTGGCTTCCCGTGACCAGCTTTATCATGCAAAGAAATGACTTTTCGTTAACTCAAATATATTGATATTGCCGAATTCTCAGCTGATATTGCCTCCTCTATGTTTTGTGCAAGCGTGCACTGGGACAACATTGATGCACTCTCTGACTGCTTTAACATGACCCTTACTGACATTTTGGACAAGCATGCCCCGCTTAAAACAAGTATTATGATAAATCGTCCAAAGATCCCGTCGTTTAATGATGACATTAAACAACTTAAGCGTAAACGTCGTCGCCTTGAAAAGAAAGCCTTGAAAACTGACCTCCCTGGCGACTGGAATGATCACCATAAAGTTCGTAATCAGTACTCCGCACTTCTTAAATCTGCACGTGTGAATTACCATTCAAACCTAATTGATCAGTGTGCGGATGACTCTCGCAAGCTATTCTTTGTCTCAAGACCTTGTAGCCAGATCCTCTCACTCTTTATCTTGGCCGCCATTTTGAATGAATTTCGTCTGTCCGTGGACAAATCGGTCACGTGATATCTACTGTGTGCCATGGTCTTCTCTCCTGCCGCCGCCATATTGGAAAGCGAGAAGACCCTGGGGACGAGGTTGTCTTCTGGTAAAGCATCGTTAACCGAGAAGACCTGGGGACGAGGTTGAGTTGTTTTGGTTGTGAAAACAAAAAATGGCGGACATTTCACTCGTTTCAAGGGTAAGAACTAGGCGAAATTATAGCTAAAAACATGGCAGGAACAGCAAGAACACAACGCAAAGGGCGACATCTGCTATTTGGAGAATATTTGCGGAGCTGAACAACCCTAAACGTGCACTATCGAAGGTGAACTTAACATCGATGGAGGTAAGCATGTTTTAGCGATATTTTTAAACTAGGAATTATTTTGAATGTCAGATGAATGAATAATAAAACAATTATTGAATTCGTCTTTCGTATCATATGAAGAATTATGGAGATCTTGGAGGGTGTTATCCGCCTCGGCCCACCCTCCTCGATCTCCGTAATTCTCCATAAGATACTCAGCCTCATTCATTAATTGTTAAGTAAACAATGGCCAGGAAAGACACTTCAAATTACAAACTGACAAGCTCAAGTCATTTGAAATTAAAGTTTACAGTACATTTCTTTCTTTGCTTTCAAACAAACGCCAGCTCGAGTCCCATCCATCATTTCTGCGTCCAATATTCGCCTAAAGATAGCAAATGTAATGAGGAAAAGAGAACGGCCCCCCTTTCCAATAACGCCAATTCACGCAACTTTTGTCTGAAGAGTCCAAGGGATTGAACTCGATGGCTGGTTTCTTTTCCACTATGAATCGGCGAATGCCGCAGACAATCTGGTACAACGTATTTTCGGAGGGTATGGATCTTTGGAAAACTTTGCCACCTCTTGACACCAATTTGGATAACCAATAGTTGAGCTTCAATGCGTCCATCTCTGTTATGGGCCGAGTAAGCGGCTGAACTTTGTCCAATTCATACTCTTTAAAAACTTCACCAAGTTCGACTATTGGAAACTTTACACTTCGCACTCGTTGCCAATCCTCAAAAATGCCTACTGCCCACTTATTTTTATACCTGGTACACTTCGGTACTGCTCTCTCTACGCAAAGTTCTTCTATCTCGATTGCTTTCGGGAAGCGAAACCTTCCTTCGGTCATGGCAAAAACAATATGTAAATCACTTCAAGTTCATAACGCTTTTGGAATACAAATTTGGTGCAACTCGAAACTATTGGATATTTAAAAACAAAAACTCACAAATACAATGAATGCCGACTGAATAAAACAAATCACACATACAAGGCATTGTAAAGAAAAATGGGAAAATACCACACTGCATAATTTAGTATTGTTTCTTCGGTCTCCAAACGCTCGAAACAGTAAAACCACTCGGGCTGCACTCGTTTTTGAAATAGTACTTGAATCAGGGTCAGCTTCATCATTTTTATCTGGATTAGGTAGAAGCTAAGGTTATAGAGATCAGATGTTATTAATTCATCAAATTGTCCAGTCCAATTACCAATCACAAAGCTAAATTCCCCTGTCATCAAGATCATAGAAGGGAAATACCTGCAGTGTATTCATGACGGCAAGATTTTGTAATGACATGTCTAATTCCTAAAAGTTTAACAAATTAAAAATATAAATAGTATCAGGTCATTCAACAATTGCTCATCTGGTCGAGATAATCCTCAAATTCTTCGTGTGTCGTAAAGGCTTGTGTGGGGGAAGTATCATTTACTTTCAGCATAATGTTGCGTTGCTTGTCCACAGATATATTTTGCATTGTTCCTTCTCTTGTACTCCCTTATGCAACCAAAGAGCCTTTTACGATAACTAGTTAAGGATTCGTTAATAAAGATCTTGCCATTTCCATCTTCAATCGAAGGCAGTGACTGATGTTCTTCCCTACCAGGTTCTTCCGATTCTTGTATAGTTCCTCCTTCTTATCTCGCTGAATAAATTTCACAATAAGACGATTTTTCAGATTCTTTGAGTCTGGAAGCTTATGCGCGGCGGCAATATGGCGGTCATCAATTTCAACACCAGCAAGCGAGCCAACTTCTTTCACTGTTGATTAGGGTTTGCATACGATGAGATCGGTACGCCATTGATTTCTAAACAATCTCTCCTTAGATCCTGTTAAGTTTCCTGAAGAGCGCATTCGACTCGATACAGTGACTGATCTTGTTTGTCGATTGTTCGCGCCAGCTTACCGAGTTTCTCTTCAAGCGAATTTGTAATCGTCGTGTATTTTTTATCGAGGTTAGCTGTTTGGCTTTTAACACTTTGGAGAGCAGCTATGGCAGTGTCATATTTCTTGGAAACAAAATCTTGAGACTTCTGTATTGCGTTACATCTCTCGGTTAATGCTTTGATGCTCGATTTGAGCTCCAGTATCTTTGTCTTAATTTCACGTTATATACTTGGTAAAAATTCGTATTTCCAAATTCTTCTTAATTCTTTTGCACTTAAATTTCCCTCTTTTATCACTCTCGGTAACCTGAGGACTGGAGCTGGGGGACCGCAGCTGCCACGCCTGTTCTGTCCTCTCTGATTATACCAAGGTGATAGGAAGCTACGCACAATAGAAATTGCCTCGATCACAATGACCACCACCTTGACCACCTTGACCACCACGACCACCCCGACCATCACGACCACCCCGACCACCTCGACCACCGCGACCCTAATAGATCATACTGTAGTCACAGTGGTTGAGCAGTTAAACCGAAAAACTTTCAATTGGTGCGATGTAATTCCGCCTATAAGGATTTGGACAAAACGCGCGTGAAATTATTCCCTAATTTCACTCGTCACCATTTGATTACACATACAAATATACGATTTACTAATCACAGACGACCTTGCAAACGGTGCGGGCTGATTCAAAAATAATAAAAAAAAGCCGGTACTCGGGAGTGTTAATTTGCAGTGCGTAATGAGGGCATTACTAATGGCAGTCCATTTTTAAATGAAACAAAAAATTGCATCCTTCTTACGAAATTAATGGATTAAAAGATACCCAGAAGTTCGAGGGCAGCGGTATAAGGCCACAAAGGGTAAAAATATTCACCCACAATCGGGTTAACTTTATTATTGACTGCTTTGCACTGTCAAAACGGTTGACATATTAAGCTCAAGCTACTTATTTCTACACGATCAAATTGTATTTAAATTTGCAATGAAAAAAATGTGGGCTTGAGAGATCTTTAAAAAATCTCCCAGGCTCATTTTCCAACTAACTGAACGTTCAGATGAAATACTTCATTTTTCACGCCTTCCTGGACTTTAGTGTAACGGGTAAGCATCTTTCGTGACATACACTTACTGGAAATATTTGAAACTAAAAATAGCTAAGTACTAAATAAACAAATATTCTTACTTACATACTCGGAAAGTGGGAAGTGAGAAAGAGGAGAACTAAGGTTTAGTTCTTAATCCTCATCTTCCTAACTTCCCAAATACAAGATAGTTAAGGAGGGGTTGGCTGCCACAGCCTGGGAAAGGGAAGTAGCACCAGAATCACCAATATTGTTCACACTCAAATTCAAACTAGTTAAGGTGACTCGACCCAGTTTTTTTGGGGGGGTACCATCCTACTTTGAAGCTCTCTGGTATCCCCACCTTTACTTTTATCGTAAGTCTAACACATAGAATGGATAACATATAGATCAATCGACAATATAACATAAAAATTTTGGCGATCGGAGTAAATGTCACGTGGTTGTAATGCCACGCCCCTTTGAGGTCTGAGTCGAAAATCTGCTGTTGCCGGCATTTTTTCGTGAAAATCTCTCGGCTACACATAGTGCGCATTAGTGCCTTGCGCTGAACAGAGTTTCACCAAAATCGCAAAGACCCAATTCGAGAAATTCAGCGGTTTCCAAATTTAGGTCATAATTTATGCGAAAATGATAAGCAAACTTTACACGGATTATATCTAATA